ATAATATTATATGTAACTACTTAATACTATATTATAATTATTAACTTATAATTTTAGGTAATATTATAACTATTGCATTCTCATTATTGCATTCTCATTACCATTGATCCAGCCAATCATCCCAATCCCACTGTATGGAAGGGGAATAAAGTATACACAAATATATATTTTTTTCAATTTAATATTTTTTGATGCCCATAAATAATAATTTTGCATAAAAATATATACAAAAATAACTGCATACCCGTTCAAAATTTTTTTTTTCTTGTTTAGCTTTAAAAACTGCAAAATGAAAATTCTTCAGGAAGGAGAAAAGGAAATGGTCACAGACCTGTTCTGTCATGATTTGTATATATATGGCTTAAGAGTTCAAATTCTAATTAATAAGGTGATGAGGATACAAAAATTGAGTCTCAGCACGAGACAAGAGATTAAGAAACAGCTTTCAAGTTTCAACTGCTTCTAACTACAAAAGAATTCATGCAAGTAATTCAAATGGCAGTCTGCAGCCTGTGATGAATCAATCCCCGTGAATGGCATAACGCTCCCATTTCTTCGTTGGATCGTATATCTGCCATTAATAAGACAATAAGATTAAGATTGCCAATTAGTATCTAGGATAATCATCCTCTTTACAGGAGGGGAAAAAAAAAAAAAGGGATTTTGGGTTCTATGGCGCAGAGGGAAATAAGAAATTACCTCCCATCTTGAAGCAGGGAAAATATGCTTGTTCTTCTCATATCAATGCCTCTCAACAACTTTCTTAGCATGAGACTGTCAGATGTAAAGGCAGATGAGTTCATAGTTTGCACAAATTAATGCATTAAGTTAGAATCACAAAATTGTAACAGAAATAAGACCTCGTCCTTCTCAATTCTAGCATCGGCTATTGTTCGAACATCTTCATGCACATCAAAATGGAAAAGCTGTTACAAACCAAAGGAACACGGATAAACAATTGATTTAAATGAGCGTCTAGTAATATAAACATGTTAATTGAATGACTTGGAAACCAGCAATAATATATGCACCTCCTACAAAAACAAAATTCAAAGCATTAAGAATTACCGGTCCACTTTTCCCCCTGGCCTTGTTAACAATTAGTTCATAGAAACTGTGTTGCTGAAATTCCAGACAGGAAACCAAATGAGGTCAAATTAGTTAGCAGAAATTCACATGATGATATCAAAATTGCGGTAAACTGAGAGATCATATTCAACTCACGTGAGGAATGATAAGATCTTCTTTCACATAGAGAAAGTTCTCCACTGAAGTTGTTCTTATCTCCGCTTCCCTCCCTTATGTGTCTCGATCACCTTCCATGTCCCTCCTCTCCAATGCCGGAGCAATATCTGCTCGCTGAAAGAAAAGCCACGACATTTCAAAGCCAAGCTTTTGTCTATGAAAAATAAGCCCTTGATCTTTTCTCATATTGGTGAATCAGCCCTTTAATTTTTCATTCTAAACAAGCTTGAGGTTCAGATATGTTCAGTAATAATGTAGCAAGGATGGCACTGTAAGATGTTCTTCTTTCCCCTTGTTCGTGTACAGATACATGTAGAAGGAAAATACCGAATTGTTATGGATAAAACCTTAATTTAATGGTGATCACTGATCAAGTCAGGATAACATTCTCCAATATATGTTACCTATTGTTAATTTATTGACTTCTTCTGTCTCTCCTGTTGCGAAACTCTCAGAAGTTCATGTCTAGATGGGATTGGATAGGTATGATAATCAACAAGGGTTGGTATATGCCATCAGGGGCGGTGGCAGAAATTTTCTTCAGGGGGGCAAGATGCTAAAATTTTTAAAGTTCAGGGGGATTAGATAATTTTTCATATACTAATTATATACTGATTTGTAAGATTTTCAAATTTCAGGGGGCGAGCGCCTCCTCGCACCCCCTGGCTCCGCCACTGTATACCATGGTTGCTGGCAGCTGCAATCTTGTTTTTCCTCTCTTTTTCCTTCTTCTTTTTTTCTAAATTTTTCTTTTTGATATATCTCATATAATTTATACAACAAGAAATAACATTTTTTTATCTCAAATCCGCCTCTTTTATAATTTAAATTTAAAATTTTTAATATGAGAAAAGATGTATATCAAATCCTCACAATAATATGAGAAAAAATTATAGACATTTTTTTTATTTTTATGACAATGACTTATTAACAATAAATCCTCACAATAATTATTTGTAATCCATGAATAAATGTATATCAAATCCTGTTACAAAAGTTGGTTCCCAATAAATTATTTTTCAAGATTTAATTTTTAATTTTTATTTTTAAGTTATGGTGCTGCTGCCAGCTTTAGATTAGGAGAGAGAGAGAACCCTTTTACCAAAATTATCCCAGTGGTGAATGGGACCAAAATGTCTCCTACGTCTCAATCTTCTGATGATCCACCAAACCATAAAATGGATAGACTTTTATCAAGTTGTGGTGATGAATTGAAACATGTAATTAACTATTTTCGAGACTTTAAATTCTAAAACAAACACTCCATACATTAATATGAGGTAATTGATTTAGTGGTCTATCTTACACTAATTATATATTTTTAAATTATTGAAAAAAATACATTTCATATTAGTAATTATAAGATAAATAATTTTTTTGAATGATTTACAACTTAATAACAGGGTATTTGAACATTGAGGGAATGCATTATATCATGAAATATATAATTATTGGACCACAAGACTCATGTGTAAAATAAATAATTTATTTTGAATTGAATGAATATTATTTTCTTTATTGATTTTTCTTTAAATATTTTATCATAGCACAATATAATCATTGTGAAATGTTTCAATTAGATTTAGAGGTTAGATTAACAACCTAAAAATCAAATGGTTAATATTTAATCTGTCAGTCCTTTGTGTTCAAGACTACCAAATTAACAATGCAGTGAGGTTTGTCCACCTAATCATCATCAAATGGTTAGTTCGTGGTTATGATTTAATCGAGATGGATGATGGAAATCCACGTGGACGGTCATGGGGAGCCAATTCACCACCGATTGCATATCTGTCCTTCATATCTGTCGAGCCACGTGGCATAACAGAGACGCCCTCAGAAAATCTAGGGTAACAGATGAAACGACGCCGTTAAGAGAGCGGAAACTTCACTCCTGTCAATGTGTCTTCTCGTTGAAGGGCAGCGACAACTAAAGGTTCTAATTTTTCCAGATCAGATAACTATAAATCCCCAGCGCTCCTCCCTCGCGTGAACAACACCGCCTATTTCATCTTAAAAGAAAAAAACCTAATATATTACCAATTATAGGTTCATATTTTTCAGTTTAGAAAAAATATAATTAACTTTTTTTTTTGAACAAGTTGTCAAGGAATGAGTTCCAGAAGAGAAGAGGGGAAATGCACTTTAAGCTGATAGGCTGTCAATTGACTCGAAGGGCCGGCTACAAAAAAGATATCATTAACTTTTAACCCAATAATATGAAGAGAAATAAAGTTATAGGGTATAATTAACGTTCTTAAACTCAAAGTTAAATTTATTGATAAGTAAGTTTAGTTTTTAAGGTTTAAGTGTTAGTGCTAACATGAAAAAATTAATTTTTTTAAATGTATTAGTTT